ATGAATACATATTTTTTCAACACTGTTTCCAAACTTTTGGCCGGCAGTGTAGGTGGCCAGGGAACTGGACCACCTCGACCTATCCAATGGTCACGTAATTGAGCATTCAAAAATTCTCTAACGTTTACAGCAAAGTGAGCTGGAGCACCATCTTGTTGTAGCCACATGAGCTGCCGAACATTCAGTGGGATGTCCTCCAAGTATTCAGGTAGATGATTCTCCAGAAAATCAAGATACGCTTGGCCGTTGACATTGCCATCAAAAAAATGGGGACCAATAATATGCCCGTTGAATATTCCCACCCAAACATTAAGACTCCAACGGTGTTGATTTATCACTTGACGATGCCAATGAGGATTGACAGGTGACCAATAATGACAATTATGTCTATTGAGTTTACCGTCACTTTTGAAGGTAGCTTCATCGCTAAAACAAACATTCCAAAAGAAATTGGGATCCTCGTCCAGTTGATTAAGAGCCCACCTACAGTAATTCATTCTGAGTAAATAATCATTTTCATTGAGTTCTTGGTGCAGGATGATGTGGTATGGATGGTAACCCACGGATCTTAACATCCGATGAGCAGTAGTACGAGGTACACCCAACCGACGTTCGATTTCTCTTGTACTGATGTGAGGATTCACATGAACCATTGCTAACACAGCAAGAAGTCTTGGATCATTGTTGTTCACATTTCTGTTTCCACCTCTCTGTCGATGAAGATCATTCATACGGCAACGTCTTTCGATATTTCTGATTTGCCTGTCATTAGGATGGCGCTGGTTCGGAAAACGTTCAGCATAGAGCCGAGCAGCAGCTCGGTAGTTCCGGCGACATTCACCAAGTACTAACAATACTTCAACAACTTCATTTCCTGAATAATTGGTCATTCTGTGAAGAAATATCAAAGACGTAATGCATATTTGAAAGATAACACTAACCACAAGAGTGGTAATAATTTGTTAATACTTATATGAAAAACGCTCAACGACTTTTTCAACAGTTGTTAAAAAAATGCTTACTATTAATAATCACTCATCTCAACACTAAATTCGTCACTCCGTTCAAAACAAAAATCGACGTTTTTATTCAAAAACTTACTTTTACCTCTAAATGAGCATAAAGAATTGAATACACGTTACATCTCGACCTTTACAGAACGGACAACCTTCCATACTTCCCGAATCCGGGGTCGAGAATAGCGATTCCTATGAAAAATAGTTAACCTTCACATGTTCTTGAGTGATCAACCACAAGTTACACCTTGCCTGAACGTAGAATTTTTTGTTGTTTCCGAATCCGTGATAAAAAAAGTAGAGTACTCCAGGAAAAAACAAAGTTGACCTTCAAATGACCTTGGCGGGTCTCCCGGACCCCACGCATGATAGGTTATCTAAACGTAGAATTTTCCGCTCTTTCCGAATCCGGGGTCGAAAATAGGGGTTCCTATTTGAAAAAACAAAGTTGACCTTCAAATGACCTTGGCGGGTCTCCCGGACCCCACGCATGATAGGTCATCTAAACGTAGAATTTTCTGCTCTTTCCGAATCCGGGGTCGAAAATAGGGGTTCCTATAATAAAAAACAAAGTTGACCTTCAAATGACCTTGGCGGATCTCCCAGACCCCACGTATGGTAGGTCATCTAAACGTAGGATTTTCCGCTCTTTCCGAATCCGGGGTAGAATAGGGGTTCCTATTTGAAAAAACAAAGTTGACCTTCAAATGACCTTGGCGGGTCTCCCGGACCCCACGCATGATAGGTCATCTAAACGTAGAATTTTCTGCTCTTTCCGAATCCGGGGTCGAAAATAGGGGTTCCTATTTGAAAAAACAAAGTTGACCTTCAAATGACTTTGGCGGATCTCCCGGACCCCACGTATGGTAGATCATCTAAACGTAGGATTTTCCGCTCTTTCCGAATCCGGGGTCGAAAATAGGGGTTCCTATTTGAAAAAACAAAGTTGACCTTCAAATGACCTTGAAAATGACCCTCGAGGTCAAAGTCAAGGTCACCATAATATGTCCCCCTCGGAGACGAGTAACTTTTATTCCAAATATTTTTCGCTAGCTCTCATAGTTTTTGGGTTATCTTGGTGCGTAAGTTAAAATGGGACATCCTGTATATATATTCGAGAACGCCTTGACGAAGTGATTCCTATCAGCCCATAGCTCTATGCTATGAACACTCACTTTATGCAAGCCCGCAATTGTGCTCGAATCATTGTCTATTATCAAACGAGCACCAAAAATTTTCAATTTTTCGAACAATGGATTTTTGGTATATAATTGAATCGCTAAATCAGCTTCCATGCCTTTCGATGAGCCATTATAATTCAACCTGCAGTCGTGAGTTTTACCAGAAGCACATGAACGGCAAATTTTTATTCGAACTCCATAAGAACCAACTTTTTAGGTGTAATAACATACAAAAAAACCATGTCCTATACGAAAATATAGAATTTCTCAGTAATATACAGGGTGATTCAGAAGGATTATAGTTCCCGAAAATGGGCTGTAGAAAAAAATTTTCTGAATCGATTGCCGTTTTCAAAAAATTTTTCATCAGTAATACTTTCCGAGAAAATTAATTTCAAAAATTAATAATTTCGACCAATCAGAGCGCCGTTTCGGTCGACTACCAAATTTCGCCTCTTTTGCTGTTTTCCTCTCCACTTGGCCGTAGCAACCAAAGCGGTGATTGAGACGACGCGGTAACTAACATTGCAAAATATCATTGGTTGCTTAGCAGCGCACCGAAGAAAGAACCACCTTGTAAAGACGCAATTTTTTTAGAATAAACTGTCTAACAATGTCTTATAATTTATTTTTTTTTATAACTTTATAACAAATATATACATTTAAAGTAATTTTACGTAATTTTATAATAATTTTACGTAATAAGTGTACGAAAGTACGCGACTTCGATGTCGATCTTGGCAATATTTTGCCACTTTAATTTGAATGAAACCTTTTTCGTTCCAAAGATCATAGTGGAAAGAGGCTGTAAAACTTTTGCTGATGCTCGGAAAAGCCTCTGTCCCTTGCAATATAGAAGAGATAGCGTGCGGCCGAGAATACGTAGTTACGCGACTTCGATGTCGATTTTGGCAATGTTTTGCTACTTTTACCGGAATAAAACCTTTCCCATTCGGCAGATAATGACGAAACGTATCCGTGAGACGTTTGCCGGCGCTCGGAAAAGCCTCTGTCCCTTGCAACATAGAAGGGATAGCGTGCGGCCGAGAATACGTAGTTACGCGACTTTGATGTTGATTTTGGCAATGTTTTGCCACTTTTACCGGAAAGAAACCTTTTTCATTCGAATGATCATAGTCGTAAGAGGCTGTAAAACTTTTGCCGATGTTCGGAAAAGCCTCTGTCCCTTGCAACATAAAAGGGAAAGCGCGCAGCCGAGAATACGAAATTACGCGAATTCGTTGGCGTTTTTGGCAGAGTTGTGTCACTTTTATTGGAATGGCACCTTCATTCGAACATAAAGTATTCGTGAAACTTTTGCCGATGATCGAAAAGCCTCTGACATTAACCAGAGAGGAGAGGGAGAAAACGTATTCATCTTCAATTTACTCAGTGAATAATGGTAGTGGCATTGTTGTTATGCGATGCCGAATATTCCGAATGCTTAAGACTTTATATCCACGTTCCGTATGGCAGTTTTCAAATCGTCAATGATGACCGACGGATGCATAGACTTCTCAATATCACTTTAAATCCTTTCTATTCTTTACGCTGTTATGTTTTTTTCTTTTAATCCATTTATTATTGGTAGATATTTTTCAGATGCTGTTGGTTGAATATTTATCTTATTTTGTCCCAATATTTTCAAAATATAGTTTTCTTTGGCTATTCCGTTTAGTAGTTTTTCCAATGTCCAACGAGAAACTTAATAATAAAACAATTAAGAGAAAGTGGCCGGCTGCTCAAATAATTTTATTGTGTAGAGTCTTTGAGTATTACATTTACAGCATCATCGTGAAATGGTTTCATTTGTAATACATTAGTAGTAGCAGTAAATGTAAATCCTAATACATGTTTTATTTATCGTTAGATTAATCTAATTTATATTCGATAATTTATATCTAATCACTATTCTATATTTTTAACTTAGGTACAACGGATCATTAAGGACAACTTCCTCCATGCGTATTACTTTCGCAAAGTTCAACAACTGAACGAAGCAGATTATCATGTGCGGGTTGAATTTTGCCAAAGATTATTACAAAGAATTGAAAACGATGAACATTTTTTAGAAAATATTTTATTTACCGATGAATCGACGTTTGGGAGAGACGAAACGTTCAATATGCATAATAACCATTATTATGCTGTAGAAAATCCCAGATTAGTTATTATAAGTAGGCACCAGAATCGATTTTCCTTGAATTATTGGTGTGGAATTGTGGAAAATAAAGTTGTAAGTATATACAAATATATTTCTACATAAATATATATATTTTTCATTTATTTACAAAGTTTATTTACAATCTGTCAACTTTAAATAAAAAGGACAATCAGTAATAGCATCAATCATATATAGCAGGTATAGCGTTGGTCCTAAAACACTGCTCTGTTTTACACCTGCTTTTATTACTTGCCGTGTTGATACTTTTTTAATGATTTTTACCTGAAATATTCTGTCTTGCAGGTAAGATTGTAGTAAATTACTGTAACATTTGGAAAAAAAATCCCTCTATATCGAGAAATATGCCTGTGTGGCGAGCTTGACGAACCGAGTTGTACGTTCGAATGCGAATTCTTCGTTCGAAGCTGAAGTTGCCGCAGCATAATTGTTTTGTTACTATCGCATTAAAAAAGTGTTTTATTGTTTTTCTCTTCAGTCGTTGATTTGACAGCTTCGTACAAACTAATGATAATAAAAGCTAATCATCAACATCAGTCTCTATACATTAATTCTCCTCATTGGTGACCCCGACTACAAAAAAATAAATACTACAAAGAAGAAGAATGGTATTCCCACGTGATGACGAGGTTGAAGCAGCCAACATTCGTGCGCAACTCGATCAACTTCGTGCCGACAACGAGCGGCTCGTTCAGTAACTCGCCCAACAGCAGCAGCAACAACAGCAGCAGCAGAATGGAGCGCTTGCAGCAGGCCTCACAGCAGGCGGTGCGCTCGCCCAGGCTAACCTCATCCCCGCGCCAGCAGTTCATCGGGTTGCTGTCAAGCTACCGCCATTTTGGTCCGATCGACCAAGCATGTGGTTTGCGCAAGCGGATTCCCCATTTTTCATCTCAAACAACAACAACGAAGTAACGAAAATTTCATTATGTTGTTTCGCAATTGGAGACGCGCGTTGCTGTGGAAGTCGAGGATATCATAAGCAATCCTCCTAACGAGACTCCATACACATATTTGCGCAGTAAACTCATGGAGCGTCTGTCTGCTTCAGAAGAGCAGCGCGTGAAGCGTCTGATCAGTGAGGAGGAACTCGGCGACCGCAAACCCTCGCAGTTCCTTCGCTATCTTCGCACGCTTATTGGCACGACGATCATTCCGGATAACCTATTGCGTCAATTCTGGCTCCAGCGCCTTCCGTCTTACGTCCAGGCGATCATCACTGCGCAAATAACTGCCCAACCTGCTTTGACCCTCGATAATCAATCCGAAATCGCTGACAAAATTATCGAGGTATCACCAGCAACTCCTCTATCCGTCAGAGCTGTATCTTCATCAACTTCCGTCAAGCAAGAGTCGTCGCATAGCGCGCTGATTTGCGCCATCGAGTCTCTGAGCAAACAAGTCGCAGAGCTTTCGACGCGCAATTCTCACAGAAATGAGAATCGCAGCAACAGTCGTGGACGACGTCAACGCAGCCAGTCTAGGCAAGACTCAGGCTCTGATTCTTTACGCCTCTGCTGGTACCATCACAAGTTCCATGACAAGGCTAAGAAGTACATCAGCCCGTGCAGTTGGAAATCGGGAAACGCCGACAACAGTTCGTAAGGACGGCGTCGAACTGTTTGTCTCCGGGGAGCCATCTCTTTGTGACGGACCAGACCTCCAAACGAAGTTTTCTTATTGACACTGGCTCTGATATTTGTTGTTATCCTCGTCGTTTTCTTCGTGAGCGTTTTTCAGCCACTAATTTTGACTTGATTGCAACAAACGGTAGTAAAATTAAGACGTACGGTTTCCTCCTACTCAATCTCAACTTTCGTTTGCGAAGGGAATTCAAATGGAAGTTTGTCATCGCTGACGTTGATGTGCCAATCATCGGGTCCGATTTTCTGTCGCACTTCCATTTGCTACCTGATTGTCATATGAAGCTTCTCGTCGATGGTACTACTAATTTAAAAACAGATGCTCAAGTAAAGAAAGTTTTTCAGCTTAGTGTCAAAATGGTTGATTTATCTTCTTCACCTGAATTTTCGCACATACTCGCCAAATTTCCCGATTTGACTTGTCCTTGCGGTAAACATCGTGACATAAAGCACGAAACCGTTCATTACATTCGCACTACTCCAGGTCCTCCAGTCTCCAGCACGTTTTGACGTTTAGCTCCAGATAAATTCAAGATCGCCAAGCAGCAATTCAACGATATGATCGAAGCTGGCACAGCTCGCCCCTCATCGAGTTGCTGGTCATCGCCGTTGCACTTAGCTCCAAAAGGCGAGTCGGACTAGAGGCCTTGTGGTGATTATCGTCTTCTTAATCGTCGCACTATTTCAGATCGATATCCGGTTCTGCATATACATGACTTCACGTGCAATTTAGCCGACAATATATTTTTTTCAAAAATAGACCTCGTAAAATCTTACAATCAAATTCCTGTTTTTAAAGACGATATTTGCAAAACTGCTATTTCTACACCTTTCGATGCGAATTCTTCGTTCGAAGCTGAAGTTGCCGCAGCATGATTGTTTTGTTACTATCGCATTAAAAAAGTGTTTTATTATTTTTCTCTTCAGTCGTTGATTTGACAGCTTCGTACAAACTAATGATAATAAAAGCTAATCATCAACATCAGTCTCTATACATTAATTCTCCTCACCTGTACAGTACAGTTTGTTTTCTATGAATTTCTTCGCTGTTGATACTATTCTTTTCACTTGTTCGATCGTGGAATGATGACTTTTGAATCTAAATTGGTGGTCCGGGATAAGTTTCTTACCTATTATAATTTGATTTATTCTTGCTGATATGATTTTTTCATAGATTTTTCAGAGTACAGGCAGTAGACTAATTGGTCTGTATGAGGTCAAAAGTTCATTTTCTTGACCGGGTCTAGGTATTAAGATAATCTCTGCTACTTTCCATTGAGAAGGTAAATAGCAATGATGGAAGCATGCATTAAATATTATTGTCATATATCGAATTGCTATCGTGGGAAGCTTTTTAATAATTTTTTCTGTAATGATATCATAACCGAGGGCTTTTTTATTATTTATGTTATTAATGATTTTGAGTACTTCCTTTAGTTTAACTGGTTTCGATGGAGTGTTATCCTGTGCATTATGATCTTCTAGTAAGATTTCTTTTTATTATTTAGTGATTATACGTTGATGTTATTTGAACACTTCGCTTAGATGATTTGTAAAAGTTGCCATTTTTTTCTCGTCCGCTCTGGCCCATTTTCCATAGTTTTTACGTATGGGTGCACGGTGTTTTTATACGACCAAAAAGTTTGCCGGATTTGACGCTAAAAAGTACGTACGTAGTTTCATTCCTTGAGCTTCAAATAACTCAAAATCGTTAATCCCAAAATCGTAACTGCTCCTTCTTTCGAGTTATCCTTACAGAAAGGTTATTTTTAAAAAAAATCATGACTTGATATAATAAATAAGTAATTTGATGAGTTTAAACTTGAGCATTTAAATTTCACAAGTAAAATGTCGATTATTTAAAATGCCACTCTTAGCTTTTAACCCAGGATCAACGACGAGGACGTGGTGACATGGCTGATCCCATAAAAAAAAAATTTTTAAATAAAAAAACAAGTCAACAAAATTAATTTTCATGGAAACAAAATGCTTAATACACTTCATATATGAAGTGATGAAAATTCAACTGTCGCTTCTTTCAATCTTTGCGGATATGAAACATGTGAACCTTGTCTATATTTTTCGACTATTATATTCGTTCACATTTACGATCAGTTGCTCGCCCGCAGTCGTCGTGAGCACGCGGATACAAATTACATGAAGTGTGTTATTTACAAATACCCGACATTGAATATTTTTTGGTTTATTATTTGTCAGTCGAGGCAACAGTGATAATGTGTATCGAACCAATATAGTGATAACACTGCTGTTATACCTGCACATCCAAGTAGAAAATGCCTTCACGAAGAAAATCGAAGCAAAGTTTGTGGGCCATGTCGAAAAAAACTGATTCTTGGAAAAAAAAAGATTAGTAACTTTCGATTAACGGAAAATCATGTGAAATTGATCGGCAAGTTATTGGGAAAAAAGTACGACTTAAATGACTGCAGATTTCCTACAAGCATTTGCACCACATGTCGGTTAACTTTATCCGAAAGAGCAGAAAACAATGGCAGCAGGCCACTACAAGCGATGCGAAATTATGAAAACATCATACTTCCTAAAAGTACAAGATCATCCAGTGCATCAGAAGAAGTATGCAACTGCTACATATGTTTGACAGGTAAATCTACGAGCCATTTCAATAATACAGTAGCACCAGGAGTTAAAAAAGATTTGGCAACAAAAATAACAGTTTCAAACGGATTGTTAGGTTCTCGTAATTCAAAAGTAAAAGAACTACCTAAAAGCCGTACCTCCGACTCGAATCAAAAAGAATCGGGCGTGTTAAAATTGTGCAATGTTTGTAAGAGTGAAATACATAAGGGTAAAAAGCACGTTTGTAGCACACGTGTACATGTTGTTCGTGCTAATGTGACGAAGCTGGTAGATACATTGAATGATGATCAAAAAGAGCATGTCGCTTCAAAAATTATTAATGAAAAAGCTGCAGTTGTTGGCGAAGACTCTCTCACTTTACGTACCCGAGGTCGTCAAAAACGTATATATCTCACGGAAAAAAAGACTGACTCATCTTTTTCATTAGAAAATTTAGACAATTATCATACTGATACTGCCCATTGAGCTCGACAGATGAATAGGTTGGCAAAATTCATTCGACACTCTGCTGGCAGAAAATCTGTGCCTTCGAATTATTCAAGTCATATTAGTGAAAGAACAAAGCTATTAGAAGATAATTATGAAATCAGTACTTTAGAATTTGATACCAAAAATACGAAAGTAAAAGAAAAAAGGCCTGTTATCTGGACTAACGCTGAAAAGATCGTAGAATCTGTATTAGAAAAACGAAATTTTGTTGGTAATTATACGATCAAAGTAATGGCAGATGGTGGCCAAGGGTTTTTTAAGGTTTGTTTATCGATCATTCCTGTAACTTCTGAACCTGATGAAGATTTATGTCAATGTGCCCACTAAAAAAAGAAAATTATCTCGAAAGATTCATGCGTCTAGTCCAGAAACAAGTGTTAAAAAGTTGATCATGTTATGCATAGTGCCTGACATCAAAGAAACATACGAAAATGTCAAAATGTTATTTGAACTGATAAAAATTAATAATATTTCCTTCAAATTTGTTTCTGATTTCAAATTGCTTTTAATCATAAATGGACAGCAAACGGCGACATCGACGTATCCGTGTCCTTATTGTTTTGTCAGATTACAACAGTTGAGAAAAAATTCTGATGAAAAAAATGTTCCTAATGAGTCTCGACTTCCTGTGTTGAAAACTTTTGGAGACTTAGAAAAAGATTATAAAAATTTTGTGGATCTTGGTAAAAAGAAAAATTTATCAAAGAACTGTTATAGTACAATAAACAAGCCTTTTTTCACAGAAGACAAAGACTTACGAATTCTAGAGAAATGTATTATTCCAGAGCTTCATGTAATGCAAGATTTTGTTAATCATTTGTTTTGGGACGGTCTGGTCTCTCTTGTCGGCCGAGAAAAAGCTCTGCTGTAGCCTATGAAATTGAATCTAATATCAAAGAAATATCATGGCGAAATTTTTGAAGGAAATGCTTGTAGGATATTATTGAAGGAAGCTGACAAACTTAATGATAAAGAAATTTACAAAGATACCAGTATATTTGCTTTGATGCCATATATTACTGCATTCAAGATAATGAACAAGATTATGAATTCATGCTTTTCGTTAAAAAGACTTGAACCGATTGAGAATATAAGAACATTAATCACAGACTTACACAAAGCATTATTGGCCACAGCAGTATCCGAGACTCTTAAAATCCATGTTCTTTTGGAGCATCTCAATCAGTGCTTAGAACAAATAGATTCAAAGCAAGGTTTAGGGCTGTGGTCCGAACAAGCAAGTGAATTGGCACATCGAGAATTTCTTAAATTTTGGGAAAGACGAAAAGTTAATTTGATTTCACACGTTTCATATCCGCAAAGATTGAAAGAAGCGACAGTTGAATTTTCATCACTTCATATATGAAGTGTGTTAAGCATTTTGTTTCCATGAAAATTAATTTTGTTGACTTGTTTTTTTATTTAAAAATTTTTTTTTTTATGGGATCAGCCATGTCACCACGTCCTCGTCGTTGATCCTGGATTAAAAGCTAAGAGTGGCATTTTAAATAATCGACATTTTACTTGTGAAATTTAAATGCTCAAGTTTAAACTCATCAAATTACTTATTTATTATATCAAGTCATGATTTTTTTTAAAAATAACCTTTCTGTAAGGATATCTCGAAAGAAGGAGCAGTTACGATTTTGGGATTAACGATTTTGAGTTATTTGAAGCTCAAGGAATGAAACTACGTACGTACTTTTTAGCGTCAAATCCGGAAAACTTTTTGGTCGTATAAAAACACCGTGGGTGGAACGAATGAGGTTGGTCTATCTAATCTTTTTGTCGCTTTTCTTAGTGAGTAATCCGTTGCTTTGATTGGACAAAATGTTTCTTCTGTATTTCTGCATT